TAGTACATCCAAGAATGGCAGACTGTTATTTTCACTATTTTCATGTGTAAATCGGAGTACTGACTCTCTCTCTAGGTGTCTTTTTAGGTCAATTAGTTCATCTGAGTCTTTTACTATTACGAATATGTCATCTACATAACGGCAGTATACAGTTGGTTTTTGTCTGCTACTGAAGACCCTATCTTCGATGGTTCCCATATAAAAATTAGCAAATAAAACTCCTAAGGGGGAGCCCATTGCTACTCCGTCTATTTGTAAATACATGTCTCCTTGTGGACTGATGAAAGGGGCTTCCTTTGTACATGCTTCGAGAAGACTTTTCAAGTGTGGCTCAGGTATGTCTAATTTGGGGGTGCTCTCGTCTCTGTATACTCTGTCCAGTATCATTCCTATGGTTGTGTCGACTGGGACGTTGGTAAAAAGGGATTCAACGTCCAGGGAAGCGATCTGAAAGAATCTGAAAGACGTAACAATAAGAAAAGCCGACAAAACAGCAGCATATGTATTGATTCCTACCCATGAATACATGAACAAAATTAGCGACATCCTAAGTGACGACTCCAAATTTCAACGAATCACGAGGAACCCCGTAGAAGACCTTAAGCGGAAAGTAAACAAAACAATTACAGCAATCAACGCAAAGAAAGGTAGTGTGCATTTCAATAAACTTCAAGGCGACTATGGCTTAGGATATGCCTACGGCAATGTTAAGACGCATAAACCAGGTAACCCACTACGCCCTATAATCAGCCAAATACCAACCCCAACTTATCACCTGGCAAAGAAACTCAATGAACTCCTAACTCCATACACTCCAAGTAAGTTTAGTCTACAATCATCAGCAGATTTCCTAGAATTGATCAAATCTACCCAGCCCGATGGAATCATCGCTTCCCTGGACGTTGAATCCCTTTTTACCAACGTCCCAGTCGACACAACCATAGGAATGATACTGGACAGAGTATACAGAGACGAGAGCACCCCCAAATTAGACATACCTGAGCCACACTTGAAAAGTCTTCTCGAAGCATGTACAAAGGAAGCCCCTTTCATCAGTCCACAAGGAGACATGTATTTACAAATAGACGGAGTAGCAATGGGCTCCCCCTTAGGAGTTTTATTTGCTAATTTTTATATGGGAACCATCGAAGATAGGGTCTTCAGTAGCAGACAAAAACCAACTGTATACTGCCGTTATGTAGATGACATATTCGTAATAGTAAAAGACTCAGATGAACTAATTGACCTAAAAAGACACCTAGAGAGAGAGTCAGTACTCCGATTTACACATGAAAATAGTGAAAATAACAGTCTGCCATTCTTGGATGTACTAATAACAAAAACAGGAACCTCTTTAAGCACCAACGTATATACCAAGCCCACCAACATAGGATTATGCCTGAACGGTAGAAGTGAGTGCCCCCAAAGATACAAAGCCAGTGTTCTCAATGCTTATATTCGTCGAGCGCTTACCCACTGCTCTGAATGGAGCAACGTGAGTAGAGAGTTTGAAAGAGTAACTCAGGTATTGGTGAACAACGGATATAGCAACGCGGAAATAAACGCTGCTATAAGAAGACACTTGGACCGTTGGTATAATTCAGAACCTAGAACAGAAACCACAACACCCCCAATAAAATTATATTACAAATCAACCATGCACAGTGAACATATAAAAGAGGAAAGAATAATGAAAGAAATAATCCGTAAAGGAGTAAAAAGCACTACTCCTAACCAAAACATAAACCTGATAATATTCTACAAAACCAAGAAGACTTCCGAACTCCTTATCAAAAACAGCCCGAAGCCGACGGAGAACCCTCTACAGCAGTCAAGCGTTGTATACATGTACACTTGCCCCCACGAAGGATGTAACCTTCAATGTAAGTACATAGGTATGACGTCGACCAAGCTGACGAGGCGTTTGACATGCCATCTTCAATCTGGTGCCCCTAGGAATCACATGAGACAAGCCCATGACATTACTCTAACAAGAGAAATGTTGAACAAGAATACTTGCATAATAGACAAAACCCAAGATTCAAGAAGATTACAAATTCTTGAGGCAATTCACATAAGAATAGAGCGACCTACCATGAACACCCAAATCACGGAACTATTTACTCTACCCACCATGAGAGTAAGGACAAGACAAGAACATATCGATGCCAACACAGAAGACAATGTCCAACATAACAGGCCAATTACACTGGATTAATCTTTGTGTTTAGATAGGAGATGCCTCGTATGGGCCAATAAGCCTTCTGCAGCCCCTATGTTTATCCCTTATGTATCCCCCCATGTTTTCACCTTCATTGTATTATCACCTGACCTAATGCGGGTATAAAATCAACTAGTATTGTAAGATCTGTTCACTTGAGAATGAACCATGGAGGTTCGAAACGTCGTGCAAATTATACAAATAAGTGTAATACACTCTATAGTAAATCACTTCTTTTCTTCACCTTAAAAGTACGAAAATGAGTTTTGGAGAACTCCTATTCCAATTAAGCCCTGATGCTAAGAAAATAGTTAGAGGGATAGAAGCCCTAAACCAGAAAATAATAAATACAGAATATGCGGTCATATTCAATGAAACATGTTTGAAATAAATATAGTATACACCAATATATATATATATATATATATATATATATTCTTATCACTGTAAACCTGCACCTTCCTCAAAACACATCTATTCCCAAAACACCAAATGCTCTCTGACATAATGACATAATGTCAAGGGGCGGAGCTTAAACTTACAACCTCTCCTCACTGAAGAAAAGGAGCCTATTCCTTCTTCTACCCCCTTTACTTACCCCTGACTACCATCTCTACCAATCACACATCACAAATTAAACAGAAAACGTAACACGTTCAAAAATCTCCTCAGAAAATGGATCACGTCCCCCCCAAAATTATCGCATACTTGGCAACTCAAACACTATTCATTCACACAACCTTACATCACACAGGACACGGTCTAAAAAAGTTACTAAATCATCGCACACTCTGCAACTCACACCCAAATCCTTCCCACAACGTTTACACAGCGTTTGCTGGGACCGAAACCACTCCATCCCAAAATGGATGGGACGGTCTACAGCGTAAATCTCCTTACAACCTCCTTCTTTATAATCAGTCTTTCATGCGGCACTTTATCCAAAGCTTTGCTAAAGTCAAGGTACACAACATTACAATCCTTACCACTATCAAGTGCCTCAACTATGCTGGAATAAAAAGATAGCAGATTTGTTTAACATGAACGGCCATTTGTAAAACCATGTTGTGGCTCATTTATTAATTTATGTTTTTCAAGATGAAGACGAATTGCATTTCCAGTTATCGATTCAAGTAACTTTCCCACAACAGACGTTAGGCTAATTGGTCGATAGTTTGAAGCAAGTGATCTATCTCCTTTCTTAAAAATTGGTACCACGTTAGCAACCTTCCATGAGCCTGGCACTCTGCCTGACTCTATTGATTTATTAATTATTATAGACAGTGGTTCGCAAAGTTCCTCTGTGCATTCTTTACACACCCTGGCAAGAACTTCATCCGACCCTGGGGATTTACAGGGATTATATTCTTATGTTCTTATGTTATATTAACTGACTATTAATTGAGAAGTGATAGAATATTCTACAGTTTATATAGAAGTCATGATTGAAAAGTGGAAGTGGATAAATGAGGATGAAAGGGAATTATTAATTAATTAGGCTATATAATAGACATTAGGTGAGACATAGGTAAAAACCAGTGTGAACATTGTGCTATTTCCTCACATGCTTCTCATATATAGACCTTCAGAAGTTTATCTAATAATGGCAAACGATTTTTTGGGGGGTTTACCATGGGGCTGGAAGTAAATAGGAGATTCTATATGGTTCCCTACTAGGCCTACTGCAATTTTATTTCTTATGTTCTATATGCTATCTTTGCCAGAAATAATATTTTGAAAATGGGAAAATATGAAAATGGGTTTAAATATGCTATCATGGAAAATGGTCTTATTGTGGGAATACGAAGGATGACATCTTCCCACAATTGCACATTAGGGACGATGAAAGGGATCCCTTTAATCCCATTGGCAAATAATTATCGAAAATGGGAATAAATATGAAAAATGGGATTAAATACGCTATCACGGAAAATTGAGTTATTGAGAGAAGATGAAGACTGGCTGGCTGATGATGTCGTTGACCATTAGGGATGACTATGCCTGTGAGAGTTTCCTAGGTGATGAAATTTAGGGGTGACGGGAGGCGGCCTTTTAATCCCCATGGATATATATCAGCGGCCATAGACCGAAATCCACGGCAAAATTTCACGACTCGCAGATCTGACCGTCGAAAAAATCTAAATTGACGGTCTCTCCCACTACTGGGATGCAGGATAAGTGGAGGCTGGAATGGAGGCTAGGTTGAGGCTGGGGTGGAGGCTAGGTTGAATCTGGGGTGGAGGCTGAGGTGGAGGCAAGGGTGGAGGCTGGAGTGGAAACTAGGGTGGAGGCTCGGGTAGAGGCTGAGGTGGAGGATGAGGTGAAGGCTGAGGTGAAACCTGAAGTGGAGGCTGGGGTAAAAGCTGAGGAGGAGATTGAGGTGAAGGGTTACGTGAAGACTGAAGTGGAGGCTGAGGTGATTACTGAGATGGAGGCTGAGGTGGAGGCTGAGGTGGAGTCTGGGGGGTGGAGGCTGGGGAGGAGGCTTGGGTGGAGTCTGGGTACGAAGTTGTGGAGGAGGCTTGGTTGATGGGTAGTGTCAGATGTGGCATCAATAGGGGCCACAACCATTACAGTCCCGCCTGGATTCTCTAATAGTTCCGGATTTGAATCTATTAACGAAAATGTACAGTTTACAAACCATAAAAATATTCTCAATATCTTGGTAACAAACATGATATATCCCGTATACTCTGAGGGGTGTCATTATAGCTATGGTTTGATCCATCGTTCATCATCCTGGAGGAGGAGTTGATGCCAGGTGGTTTTCCTCCCTCAGAGGGGGTGTACGCGTGGCTGGTAGTGCTCGTTCTCCCCATCAACTCTGCAGTCAACCCCGGACTCTACACATTCTCCACCTCACAGTTCCAGTCACAAGTAACCAACGCCATCACTCTCTTCCGCAGAGCGCGCCAGAGGAACAGCTCAGGTTAGTAGCAGGAAGACACGACGCACACGCTCAAACACTCACACGGGGTGATTTACACGAACTCACACACATGGAGGATTACACGGACACACAAACACGAGGGTTGTACACAAACACTCACACGGGGGCATTTACACAAACACACACAGGGGGCCTCGTAGCCTGGTGGATAGCGCGCAGGATTCGTAATTCTGTGGCGCGGGTTCGATTCCCGCACGAGGCAGAAACAAATGGGCAAAGTTTCTTTCACCCTGAATGCCCCTGTTACCTAGCAGTAAATAGGTACCTGGGAGTTAGTCAGCTGTCACGGGCTGCTTCCTAGGGTGTGTGTGTGTGGTGTGGAGGAAAAAAAAAAAAAAAAAAAAAAAAAAAAAAAAAAAAAAAAAAAAAAGTAGTTAGTAAACAGTTGATTGACAGTTGAGAGGCGGGCCGAAAGAGCAAAGCTCAATCCCCGTATAAACACAACTAGTAAACACACATGGGGGGTACACGAACAAGGGGAAATAGGTGGAAACTGAGTACCCAAATGAGCCACAGGGACGTTAGAAATATTTTGTCAGAGTAGTTAACAAATGTAATGCATTAGGCAGTGATGTGGCTGCTTCGTACACAATTTCAAGTGTAAACATGATAGTGTCCAGTAAGGTCAGAAATCTGTACACCTGTTGATTGAGATTTGAGGGACAGGACCAACGAGCAAGAGCAAGCACAACTACGTGAGTGGAACTAGGTGAGTACATAAAACACACACACACACACACACACACACACACACACACACACACACACAGGCAGTCACCTGTTGATTGACGGTTGAGAGGCGGGACCAAAGAGCCAGAGCTCAAACCCCGCAAGCACAACTAGGTGAGTACAACTAGGTGAGTACACACACACACACACACACACACACACACACACACACACACACACACACACACACACACACACACACACACACACACACACACACACACACACACACACACACACACACACACACACACACACACACACACACACACACACACACACACACACACACACACACACACATCATTTAGAATCTTGTACACCACATATGTAAGACCTAGAGTAAGCGGCCCCAGCATGGAGCCCGTACCTTGTCAAGCACAAGACGAAGCTGGAAAAAGTCCAAAGGTATGCTACTAGACTAGTCCCAGAACTAAGAGGCATGAGTTATGAGGAAAGGCTGCGGGAAATGCACCTTACGACACTGGAAGACAGAAGAGTAAGGGGGGACATGATCACAACCTACAAAATCCTCAGGGGAATCGACCGGGTAAACAAGAATGAACTATTCAACACTGGAGGGACGCGAACAAGGGGACACAGGTGGAAGCTGAGTACCCAAATGAGCCACAGAGACATTAGAAAAAACTTTTTCAGTGTCAGAGTAGTTAGTAAATGGAATGCACTAGGAAGTGATGTGGTGAAGGCTGACTCCATACACAGTTTCAAATGTAGATATGACAGAGCCCATTAGGCTCAGGAATCTGTACATCAGTTGATTGGCAGTTGAGAGGCGGGACCAAAGAGCCAGAGCTCAACCCCCGCAAACACAACTAGGTGAGTACACACACACACACACACACACACACACACACACACACACACACACACACACACACACACACACACACAGGGAACTGGGAAACAATGGGTTGGTGTACCGAAAGGGAAACTATGAGGAGATGAATAAATTCCTAAGGGATATACATTGGGACAGAGAACTCAGAACCAAGTCCGTACAAGACATGGTGGACTATGTCGCCCAAAAGTGTCAGGAGGCTGTAAGCAGGTTTGTCCCAGCCCGATATGAAGAAACAGAGAAGCAAAAGAAGAATCCGTGGTTTAATAGGGAATGTATGAAAGCAAAGGAGCTGAACAAAAGGGCATGGGGGAAGTTCCGTAATAACAGAACACCAGAAAGTAGAGAGAGATACCAGAGAACCAGGAACGAGTATGTTAGTGTGAGAAGAGCAGCTGAGAAAAGGTATGAAAATGATATAGCTAATAAAGCCAAGACCGAACCAAAGCTACTACACAGTCACATCAGGAGGAAGACAACAGTGAAGGAACAGGTGATGAAACTTAGGATGGGCGAGGACAGGTACACAGAGAAAGACAAAGAGGTGTGTGAAGAACTCAACAAAAGGTTCCAGGAGGTCTTTACAATTGAACAGGGAGAAGTCACGGCGCTAGGAGAGGTGGCGGCAAACCAGGTGACCTTGGAAAGGTTCCAAATTACAAGAGATGAGGTCAAAAAGCGCCTATTGGAGCTGGACGTGAGAAAAGCTGTTGGACCGAACGGAATCTCACCATGGGTATTGAAAGAGTGTGCAGGAGCACTTTGCTTGCCACTCTCCATAGTGTATAGTAGGTCACTGGAAACGCGAGACCTACCATAAATATGGAAGACTGCTAATGTAGTACCAATATACAAAAAGGGTGACAGACAAGAGGCACTGAACTACAGGCCAGTGTCCTTAACTTGTATACCATGCAAGGTGATGGAGAAGATTGTGAGAAAAAAACTAGTAACACATCTGGAGAGAACAGACTTCGTGACAACCCATCAACATGGGTTCAGGGAGGGCAACTCTTGCCTTACAGGCTTGATAGAATTCTACGATCAGGTGACAAAGATTAAGCAAGAAAGAGAAGGGTGGGCGGACTGCATTTTTTTGGACTGTAGGAAAGCCTTTGACACAGTACCCCATAAAAGGTTGATGCATAAGCTGGAGAAACAGGCAGGAGTAACTGGTAGTACTCTAGTGGATAAGGGAGTACCTAAGCAATAGGAAGTAGAGTTACAGTGAAGGGTGAGACCTCAGAATGGTGTGAAGTCACTAGTGGAGTCCCACAGGGCTCTGTACTCGGACCTATTCTGTTTCTGATATACGTAAATGATCACCCAGAGGGTATAGACTCATTCCTCTCAATGTTTGCTGACGACGCCAAAATTATGAGAAGGATTAAGACAGAGGAGGATAGCTTGAGGCTTCAAGAAGACCTGGACAAGCTGCAGGAATGGTCGAACAAATGGTTGTTAGAGTTTAACCCAAGCAAATGTAATGTAATTAAGATAGGGATAGGAAGCAGGAGACCAGATACAAGGTATCATTTGGGAGATGAAATACTTCAAGAGTCAGAGAGAAAGAAAGACCTGGGGGTTGATATCACACCAGCCCTGTCCCCTGAAGCTCATATCTAGAGGATAACATCAGCAGCATAAGCCAGGTTGGCGAACATAAGAACGGCCTTTAGAAACTTGTGTAAGGAATCTTTCAGAACATTATATACCACATATGTCAGACCAATCCTGAAGTATGCAGCTCCTGCATGGAGTTTATATCTAGTCAAGCATAAGACTAAACTGGAAAAGTTTTAAAGGTTTGCGACCAGACTAGTACCCGAGCTGAGAGGTATGAGCTACGAGGAGAGACTACGGGAATTAAACCTCACTTCGTTGGAAGACAGAAGAGTTAGGGGGGGACATGATCACCACATTCAAGATTCTCTTGGGAATTGATATGGTAGATGAAGACAGTTTATTTAACATAAGGGGCACACGCACTAAGGGGCCACAGGTGGAAACTGAGTGCCCAAATGAGCCACAGAGATATTAGAAAGACCTTTTTTAGTGTCAGAGTGGTTGGCAAATGGAATGCATTAGGAAGTTATGTGTTGGAGGCTGACTCCATACACAGTTTCAAGTGTATATATGATAGAGCCCAATAGGCTCAGGAACCTATACACCAGTTGATTGACGGTTGAGAGGTGGGAACAAAAAGCCAGAACTCAATCCCCGCAAGCACAACTGGGTGAATACAACGAGGGGAGTACACACACACACACACACACACACACACACACACACACACACACACACACACACACACACACACACACACACACACACACACACACACACACACACACACACACACACACACACACACACACACACACACACAGCTGAATGTGACAAAGGCTGTTGGACCTGACGGAATCTCCCTGGATACTAAAATAAGGTGCAGAAGCACTAAGCGTGCCACTCTGTATGGCGTATAACAGGTCACTGGAAACAGGAGACCTACCAGAAAGCTGGAAGACAACTAATGTAGTCCCAATATACAATAAAGGTGACAGGCAAGAAGCACTGAACTACAGGCTAGTTTCCCTAGCTGTTTCCCTGAACTACAAGTTTCCCTAACTTGTATACCATGCAAGGTGATGGAGAAGATCGTAAGAAAAAGGCTCATAGGGCATTTGGAGGGAAATAGCTTTGTAACACATCATCGGCATGGGTTCAGAGATGCTAAATCGTGCCTCACAGGGTTATCTTGAGGTTATCTTGAGATGATTTCGGGGCTTTAGTGTCCCTGCGGCCCGGTCGTCGATCAGCCCTCCACCCCCAGAAAGCACGTGACAGCTGACTAACACCCAAGTACCTATTTTACTGCTAGGTAACAGGGGCATAGGGTGAAAGAAACTCTGCCCATTGTTTCTCGCCGGCGTTTGGATCGAACCCAGGACTACAGGATCACAAGTCCAGTGTGCTGTCCGCTCGGCCGACCGGCTCCCTAACCGGGTTAATAGAGTTCTATGACCAAGCAACAAAGATTAGGCAAAAAAGAGAATGGTGGACAGACTGCATTTTCTTGGACTGTCAGAAAGCTTTTGACACAGTATCCCATATAAGGCTGTCACGAAAGTTGAAGCAACAGGCAGGAGTAAAGGGTAAGTGCTCCAGTGGATAAAGGAGTATCTAAGCAAAAGGAAACAGCCAGTAACTGTGAGGGGGGAGACATCAGATTGGTGAGATGTCACCAGCTGAGTCCCACAGGGCTTTGTACTTGGGCCCATCTTGTTTCTAATATATTCCAGAGGGTATGGACTCATTCCTCTCAATGTTTGCTGATGATGCAAAAGTTATGAGAAGAATCAATACAGATGATGATAGACAGAGACTACAGGACGACATGGACAGGCTGGAGGAATGGTCTAGAAAATGGCTACTAAAGTTCAATTCAGGAAAATGCAAAATAATGAAATTAGGCGAAGGGAGCAGAAGGCTGAACACAAGGTACCATCTAGGAGGTGATATCCTACAAGAGTCAATTAGAGAGAAAGATCTGGGTGTCGATATCACACCGAACCTGTCCCCAGAGGCCCACATCAAAAGGATATCCTCAGTGGCATATGCTAGACTGGCCAATATAAGAATTGCCTTTAGAAACTTATGTAAGGAATCGTTCAGGACCCTGTATACCACTTATATCAGACCAATCGTGGAATATGCAGCATCAGGTTGGAGACCATACTTAAACAAAACACAAATTAGAGAAGATTCGGCGGTATGCCACCAGGCTCGTTCCGGAACTGAGAGGTATGAGCTACGAGGAAAGGCTTAAGGAACTGAAACTCACGTCCCTGTAAGACAGAAGAGTAAGGGGAGACATGTTAACTTCCGACAAAATTCTCAGGGGAATTGACAAGGTTATCTTGAGGTTATCTTGAGACGATTTCGGGGCTTTATAGTGTCCCCGCGGCCCGGTCCTCGACCAGGCCTCCACCCCTAGGAAGCAGCCCGTGACAGCTGACTAACACCCAGGTACCTATTTTACTGCTAGGTAACAGGGGCATAGGGTGAAAGAAACTTTGCCCATTGTTTCTCACCGGCACCTGGGATCGAACCCAGGACCACAGGGTCACAAGTCCCGCGTGCTGTCCGCTCGGCCGACCGGCTCCCTGGAAAAAGACAAACATTTAAGCACAGGTGGAACACGAACAAGGAGACACAGGTGGAAACATAGTACCTAGATGAGCCCGAGACATTAGAAAGAAACTTTTCAGTGTCATAGTAGGTAGTAAATGAAATGCATTAAGCAGAGATGTGGTGGAGGCTGACTCCATACACAGTTTCAAATGAAGATATAATAGAACCCAGTAGGCTCAGGAATCTGTACACCATTGACAGTTGAGAGGCGGGACCAAAGAGGCAAAGCTTAACCCCCGCAAACACAAATAGGTGAGTACACATACACACACACACGCTACCAGTGGTCTTGTAGTTGAGAGGACAGCGCGCAGGACTCGTAATTCTGTGCTCCGAGTTCAATTCCCGGACCAGGCAGAAACAAATGGGCGGAAGTTTCTTTCACCTTGATGCCCCTGTTACCTAGCAGTAAGTAGACACCTGGGAGTCAGACAGCTGTTAAGGAGCTGCTTCCTGGGTGTGTGTGTGTGTGGAAAAAAAAATAGTTAGTAGTTGGTTACAGTTGAGAGGCGGGGCGAAAGTGCACAGCTCAACTCCTGCGAGAATAACTAGGGTGGAGGCTGGGATGGTGGAGGCTAGGAATACCTAGTTGTATTCACCTAGTTGATTACAACTAGATGAATACAACTAGGTGAATACACCCCCTCCCCCTCCCCCACACGGGGCTGGCTGGATAAATGGACAGCGTTCTAGACTCATGGACGTAGGGACTGGGGTTTGATCCCCGCAGCAGGCGGAAAAACAAATGGGCAGAGTTTCCTTTACCCTGATGCACTTGTTACCTAGCAGTAAATGATACCTGGGAGTTAGACAGCTGTTACGGGCTGTTCCCTGGGGTGAGTGTGTGTGTAAATTAAATAGTAGTTAATAACAGTTGATTGACAGTTGAGAGGCGGGCCGAAAGAGCAGGGCTCAACCCCGGCAAGCACAACTAGGTGAATACACATTAGCGCACAAACAGCATTTTTTGGTGTGCATTTTCTGCCACCACCGGTGCTGCAGCGACACACAGCGTCTTCCACCACCGGTGCTGCAGCGACACACAGCGTCTTCCACCACCGGTGCTGCAGCGACACACAGCGTCTTCCACCACCGGTGCTGCAGCGACACACAGCGTCTTCCACCACCGGTGCTGCAGCGACACACAGCGTCTTCCACCACCGGTGCTGCAGCGACACACAGCGCCACCACCGGTGCTGCAGCGACACACAGCGTCTTCCACCACCGGTGCTGCAGCGACACACAGCGTATTATCTCCGGACATTTGGAAGATACAGTGACGATAATCTGTCCAATAAGACAACAGGTGATCCTGAACGCCATGGAAACATTTTTGAGGGTTAATATGTAAACCTTAAGACAAGTAAAGCAGCCGAGTGATGTTAACACCGAGCAACAGTACATGGAGACTGTACCGCAGCACATCAGGAGGAAGGATTAATATCACTCACCAGATGTGTCGTCAGGGTGAACAATGATGCTAGCAAGCACACCAGATGTGTCGTCGTCGTGAACTATGGTGTTAGTAAGCACACCAGATGTGTCGTCAGGGTGAACTATGGTGTAAGTAAGCACACCAGATGTGTCGTCAGGGTGAACTATGGTGTTAGTAAGCACACCAGATGTGTCGTCAGGGTGAACTATGGTGTAAGCCAGCACACCAGATGTGTCGTCAGGGTGAACTATGGTGTAAGCCAGCACACCAGATGTGTCGTCAGGGTGAACTATGGTGTAAGCCAGCACACCAGATGTGTCGTCAGGGTGAACTATGGTGTAAGCCAGCACACCAGATGTGTCGTCAGGGTGAACTATGGTGTAAGCCAGCACACCAGATGTGTCGTCAGGGTGAACTATGGTGTAAGCCAGCACACCAGATGTGTCGTCAGGGTGAACTATGGTGTAAGCCAGCACACCAGATGTGTCGTCAGGGTGAACTATGGTGTAAGCCAGCACACCAGATGTGTCGTCAGGGTGAACTATGGTGTAAGCCAGCACACCAGATGTGTCGTCAGGGTGAACTATGGTGTAAGCCAGCACACCAGATGTGTCGTCAGGGTGAACTATGGTGTAAGCCAGCACACCAGATGTGTCGTCAGGGTGAACTATGGTGTAAGCCAGCACACCAGATGTGTCGTCAGGGTGAACTATGGTGTAAGCCAGCACACCAGATGTGTCGTCAGGGTGAACTATGGTGTTAGTAAGCACACCAGATGTGTCGTCAGGGTGAACTATGGTGTTAGTAAGCACACCAGATGTGTCGTCAGGGTGAACTATGGTGTAAGCCAGCACACCAGATGTGTCGTCAGGGTGAACTATGGTGCAAGCCAGCACACCAGATGTGTCGTCAGGGTGAACTATGGTGTTAGTAAGCACACCAGATGTGTCGTCAGGGTGAACTATGGTGTTAGTAAGCACACCAGATGTGTCGTCAGGGTGAACTATGGTGTTAGTAAGCACACCAGATGTGTCGTCAGGGTGAACTATGGTGCAAGCAAGCACACCAGATGTGTCGTCAGGGTGAACTATGGTGTTAGTAAACACACCAGATGTGTCGTCAGGGTGAACTATGGTGCAAGCAAGCACACCAGATGTGTCGTCAGGGTGAACTATGGTGTTAGTAAGCACACTAGATGTGTCGTCAGGGTGAACTATGGTGCAAGCAAGCACACCAGATGTGTCGTCAGGGTGAACTATGGTGTTAGTAAGCACACCAGATGTGTCGTCAGGGTGAACTATGGTGTAAGCCAGCACACCAGATGTGTCGTCAGGGTGAACTATGGTGTTAGTAAGCACACCAGATGTGTCGTCAGGGTGAACTATGGTGTTAGTAAGCACACCAGATGTGTCGTCAGGGTGAACTATGGTGTTAGCAAGCACACCAGATGTACCGTCAGGGTGAACTATGGTGTTAGCAAGCACACCAGATGTGACTTCAGGGTGAACTATGGTGTTAGCAAGCACACCAGATGTACCGTCAGGGTGAACTATGGTGTTAGCAAGCACACCAGATGTACCATCAGGGTGAACTATGGTGTTAGCAAGCACACCAGATGTACCATCAGGGTGAACTATGGTGTTAGTAAGCACACCAGATGTGTCGTCAGGGTGAACTATGGTGTTAGTAAGCACACCAGATGTGTCGTCAGGGTGAACTATGGTGTTAGTAAGCACACCAGATGTGTCGTCAGGGTGAACTATGGTGTTAGTAAGCACACCAGATGTGTCGTCAGGGTGAACTATGTGTTAGTAAGCACACCAGATGTGTCGTCAGGGTGGACTATGGTGTTAGTAAGCACACCAGATGTGTCGTCAGGGTGAACTATGGTGTTAGTAAGCACACCAGATGTGTCGTCAGGGTGAACTATGGTGTTAGTAAGCACATCAGATGTGTCGTCAGGGTGAACTATGGTGTTAGTAAGCACACCAGATGTGTCGTCAGGGTGAACTATGGTGTTAGTAAGCACACCAGATGTGTCGTCAGGGTGAACTATGGTGTTAGTAAGCACACCAGATGTGTCGTCAATTGTAGGGATGACAACTTAGAGGAACTTTTTATATTTTTGAGAAAAGTTTTGCTAAGATCTTATAGGTTTCATATGGGGGGAAATTCGAGGCGAAAGGGGCCACTAAGTTCTTAAAGGTTTCTATGGGGAAAATTCGAGGCGAAAACTTCTGCTAAGGTCTTAAGGGTTTCTTATGGGGAAATTTCAGACCGAAAATAATTTCAGAGTTCATAGAAGTTTCTTTTAGAAATATTCAGGGGCAAAGTTCGCTCCCATCTTACTGAGAATTAACTCTACGGTCAATTTCTTTTTTTTTTTTAAATTCACTCATACGTTCTACAGATTTCTTATGGGGAAAATTCAAACCAAAAATCCTTCATACGTTCTTAAAGAGTTCTTATGGGAGAAATTCAAAAATTTTTAGAGTTCAGTTTATGAAAATATTTCAGAGTTCATATAATCATAGACGTTCATTTACGAGCTTAAGACCGAAAATTTGTAAAAGGACCATTATCAGAGAATATTATCATAGAAATTTTGTTAAGGAAAATAGTCATCTAAGCAGTAAGTTTTAGTTTTGATATATCTTTATTGCTATTTCATCAGTAAAAGACTGAAATGAGACAGAGATCAGCTTTAAGACTAAAATTGACCAGAATTTGTCAGAGTCCAGTAAAGACCAGAAACTATTCACAGTCCAGTAGAAGACTGAAATTTGACAGTCCATTTGAAGACAGAAAATTAGTCAGAGACCAGTTTGTGCCCATAATTTGACAGAGACCATTTTCAGACAAAAAAATGTTCAGAGATCACTTTGAGACCATTATTTGTCACAAGTCTACTTGTGAGCAAAATTCCTCAGAGTCCAGCTGCAGACCGAAATAAAAGTTCAGCAGTAAGACCAAAAAATTAACACAGGCCACTTTGAGACCAAGTTTTGACAGAGCTCGTTTTAAGACCAAATTCATTGGAGACGGCATTTATAAGTGTAGTTGCACTACTAATAGCCCAATTTTAAACAGTCATATTTCAAACGTAGCAAATCAAATCAAGTCAGCAAGCATGTTCCAGCTCCTGTCCCCGCCTTAAACCCCCTCTCATATCTTCGTTAATACTTAATAAATTTCCCTGAAATTTAAAACTGCTGTATTTCTGGCGTAGTAAAATACAATAATTTAGTTACCGAGCTTCAGCTCCTGTTCTCCACTTTACTGTTACAACTCTGTCAATCCCTGACAAATATATCCGATATTTAAAACAGGCATACTTCTAATTGAGTAAGTAAAGAAAATAGTGATATTGTACTGAAGCTCTTTTCCCCTGCCTTAGTTCATGTGTACAAGTTCTTTATTTTCAGCCTAAATCCCCTGAGTTTTAAGAACTCAATATTTTTAATGTAGAAAAATAGGACCATGTCAGTAACCGTACTGAAGCTCTTGTCCTCCACTTTAGTTCAATGTTCATCAAATTAATTCAAATCAAGACCCTCTCCAGTCTATCGCCTTATCAATATAAACATCCTGTCTTTTAATACCCTTTTTTTACTCAGCTATAAAATAATCACTAACGAGCTAATAATCACACGGTAATAAAAATCCCATTGTGAGATCGCACCTTACCTTCAATACCCTTTGTTTACTCTGCCATGTAATAAATGTAATTATCACACGGTCAAATCACACCTTATCTCTTCCCCACCCTAACCTTCCCATTCCTCACCTCCCCCCCCCTCCTAGCCATTCTCCCTCCCTTACCTTCCCCAACTCCCTTTCGCCCTTATCTCCCTACACCCTTTACCTTCCCCGGTACCTTCTCATCCCTTTCCTCCCCCACCCCTTATCTTCCTCCCTCCCTTACCTTCCCCAATACCCTTTCCCTCTTATCACCCCACACCCCTTACCTTCCCTCATTAACTTCCCTTGTCAGAGGGAAGTGGCGGCAGAGGGAAGTGGCGGACTTGTCAGCAAGGCGGACTTGGTGACAAGTCCGCCTTGTCAGCAAAGCGGACAGCCCGTCTGCTTTCATACCTCTCACTGTATTTCCCACTTCTATACTTCCCTTCACCTATGCCTTTCCATCCTCTTTACCAAAAAACAAAAATATATATCTTCCCCTCCCTTACAGCCCCCAACTCACCCTTCATCTCACCTCCTACTTCGCCCTTCATCTTCCCCGCACTCCCTACTCCCTTTTCATCTCGCCCATTTCCCAACTTATCCAAACCTTCACTAATCGTGCTGTATTTGTATGTTCTCTCCATGTTCATAAAGTGTCCTCCCAAATGCCCATTCCATGTTTTTCACCTGTTTCTCCATTTGTTCACTGTTCTTTGTCATATTCTCTATGTTTTCTGTGTTTTTGTCATGTTTTCATGTATATCACATGTTCTCTATTCAACTTTTATACTCAATATTCATGTTCTCTGCAAGTTCATATTCTCCACAAGTTCATCGTCGCATTCTGTACCATGTTTTCTGTGTTCACGCTATTTTCTGCTAATGTTCATCGAATGGTCTCTGTACAATTTTTATACCCACTACTCATGTTCTATGCATATTATAATCATATTTTCACCTGTTTCTCCATGCTTTCCTTTTTCTCATAATGTTCTTAGCATGTTCAGTTCATATTTTTCACCTACTTATCCATTTTTCTATGTTATTTGTCATATCCTCCATGTTCGTATTCCTTGCAAATTCACTATGTTCTTTGTCATAATTTCATGTTCATCGCATGTTCTTTATACAAGTTTTATACTCATTATTCATGTTTTCTGC